TTGTTTACAGCCACCAGTGCTGGCTCTCAGTGTTTTGTGCTGTTATTTAGCTCTAATTTACCCCTAAATGTCCTCTAGCAGCCCAGGAAGCAGTGGAAGTGTTGGTCATGCGGCTAGACAATATTGACCTGTGGTCCTGCAAATTCTCTAGTCTGGCACTGGTCAGGTCCTGAAGGTGCTGGATTAGAGAGGTTCAACCTGTATGTGCTTACGTGTTTTGTTGAAGGCAGAGCCCGTCTTAGGGATGGGTGAACCGGGCGGTTGCCCAGACCACCATTTTTAAGGGGCTGCCGACAGAGCCGGTCTTAGGGTCGATCTCTCAAATCCTCCTCCGAGGTTTCCCCAGTTACTCCCTGCCCACCCCGCTTTTTTTTTTTGCTCGACAAATTTTTGTCGGGTATTTTTTTTTAAACCATCTGGCTTGCAGCCACCTTGTACAGAAAGATGAAATGTACAATGTAAATGCTAGCAATGGTTATTAATAAAGATACTTGTCTCATGCATGGTTGTGTTTCATCTGTCAACCACCAAATGCTCTACAAAGGGGAGTAAACTTCATTAGCCTCTTTTTACTGGGGGGTTGAATGAAAAGAGAAGAGTTAAGGCTCACACCAGTCAAGAGTGACAACTCATTAGGAGCACCTCGGTTTGTGAGCGCTCCCGGGGGAGTCAGTCCATGGTGGTGGGGTCTCCCCACTGATTCCGCCGCTGAGAATCTCAGCGTTCATATCAAACTTCTAATTGTTAGAGCTGGGAAGAAACCCTTGAAAATACGATCTGCATGGAACTGATGCAGGGCTGTCTCTCTGAGCCTGGATGCTTGGAGAGGTGTGACCTATCCCAGGCACTTCCATGGTAGTCATGTGAATGTCAACATCATGAACCATTATTTTATTGTTGTGGCAGCATGCAAGAAAGGAGAGACGCTCTCGGTGACCTTCCATTTTGGCACCATGACTGGGTGGCCTTTGGGAGATTCCGTCATGTTTTTTTTTCTGCTCCGGTGAAAACAGAGCCAAGTCCAAGGTGCCTAGAAGAGCTCATGGGAATATTCAAATGCCGCTGCATGTTGGACAAGCCCTGTGAGCACCTATGACCATAACTTACAAATATTAGAGGGGTAACCGTGTTAGTCTGTTGCTGCAAAAACAAGGTGGCATCTCGGGGCACCTTAAACAGATTTATTGGGGCATAAGTTTTTGTGGGCAAAGACCCATTTCTGCATATGTGCCCAGTCCACTGTTGAACATCTGCACTGTCTTTACTGTGCATTACGCCTCATTTTGATGATTCAGTGGGCAGCGCTGATTTTCCTGGTGGTGCTTGGAGAAGAATCGCTACTTTTCCCTCTGCCCGCATTCCATCCTTGCCCATCACGCCAGTTGAAATCAACAGAATGAGGCAGATGTTTGGCACCTGAAAAATTCCATACTGACAAATCCTAAAGTGGGCTCCTCAAAAACGAAGCCCCCACAATTACGAGCCACCTTTGAAAATCTGGCTGCTTGTACTTGCCCAAAGACACCAAGAGAGACGCAGGAAGAACTGAGACTAGAATCCAGGAGTTCTAACTACCACCCTACTGCTGTAACCACTAGCTCTCCGCAGCACTAAGCAGTATACACTGGAGGCATGCTGTGCTGGGAGTCAGGCATATGTTCCAGCTGACAGTACACCATGCAGGTTATGCTGAAATAACACACTTACCTAATTACCCTTCTCTAATTATAAATAAGCAAGGTTTCCCCAACTAAGAAACAAACACAGCTCGGCCCACGCAGATTTACTAGCATAAACAGCATGCGATTCTTTTAAAATGAGCTTCCAGCCGAATCTGGACGGGCAGGAGGTTTTGCAGGAAACAGCAGCAGTGTTTCCACCCGTCAGCCGTCCCATTGAGCCGTGCCAATGAGTCAGTTCCCATCGGTTCAAGTGACAACCCGTGCAGGTGTTTCTCTGCTTTTCCCAGGCAGTGCGAGGGTTGCCTTCAGCAAACTGTTCAGGCAGGAACAGCTGCTCAAAGGGAAAACAAGACTGTTCATACGCAACTGATCCAAACTAGAAAGCGGAGACCCAAGCAGAGACTCAGTAATAGTCAGCTAAGGGACGCTGTAATAAGCACCCTTGTCTCTACAACTTATAGAGCCGAGAGAATATATTGCAAAACAGTGGGCCTGATCCTGAGTTGATGTAGCTCAACTGACCTTATGCCAGTTTGACATCAGCTGAAGCATTGGTCCTAGCGACTGTTTGCAAACACGCGTTTGAATTAAGAGCAGCTGTTCATGTCGGCCACATTCCTGCCTCTTTTTCATCCTCTGTTCATGGCCATTCACACAAACAGATATTTGTTCAGACAGATGTTTGGGGAATGGCTGTTCTTCATACGGGCGCCCGTCTTCACATGTGGATGAGGGGCTTCGTGGATGAACAAGAGAATTCATTATTCCTTAAATCATTCCATTCAGGCATCCAGTCAAAGAGCAAAAAATATGTATACTGTGTGACAAGCAACACATCACATGCCATGAATAGGGGATAGGTCACAAACTGTCCGTAGTGTGACATGTGTTTGCATTCAATTGAAACAAGTACACATTATGAACTGATCAGAGGGGAAGGAAGGTAGCTGCAAAACCATGGAGGAGTCCTATGGATAATTCACAATCAGGATCAAAAGAATTTTTGAGCTAAATTATTCCAAATGACTAATGACACACATTGGTTTGTTATGGTAGGGTTGCTGATGGCCTGGGCTGTTGTTATATAGTTTGTTCAAGGGCTGTGTGGCTCTTATTTGTTATAGCAGGACTTCTCATAGGTATTGCAACTGCATGCCTTGGATTGTTATTGTAGTGTTGCACAGGGGCATGGTGAGCTGTTTGTTATTGTGGGTTTGCTCAGTGGGCAAGATATTTCATCTCTGTTTAAATGAAGTCTAGTGCCTAGAAGCCAGCTTTACAGACCCTAGTGGCCCATTTGATGAAGTGACTAAGTGCCCATTATATAGGGCACTAATGTTCCTGGGTCTGCTATGTATGGTGCTTAGGTTCTGGCACAGTTAGCCAGTGTACCACGTGCCTGACATGATCCAGCAACAGCACAGGTGGGGTAGGTCTCAGGAGCCTTCTGGGCTGACTGAATCTAGTGCTGAGGATCCCACACATGCAGCTCTGGTGATCTGTTTGCTTGAAGAGAGGTGGTTGTAGCCCAGTGTCGCTGGCACTGGAGCCAACTCTGCTGAAGGTTGAATTTGTACCCAAGACAAGTGATTTAGGAGTCTGGGACCCACCTAAGCTACATCATTTGATGGCAAAGATCCAACACATTTGCTTGGCTAAACCACTTGTTCAGGGGTCACCAATGCCCAGGTCGCCAGGAGAGCCCATGGCGGCAATTCCTTCCCCCGGAGTTTCTCCTGACACAATTAGGTTAGGGTCCTGAGTAGAACTTCCTTATCTCCTGAGCCCTTCGGCTAGGTTATCTGTTGTACTACTGTTGAGTTATGTCTATACTCTCTTGCTGAGAAATATGTTATTCCTGAAAATAATCAGCATACCGGCATTGCGCAAAAGGGTTCTTCTTGTGCAAGAAGGGGCAGTGTAGACAGCTCCTTCTGGTGCAAGAGCCTCTTCTGCCAAAATGGCGGCTCACTAGGTATGCAAATGAGGCTTGTTTATATCCCACCTTAGCCTCATTTGCATATTTCTTGTGCAAGAAGCCACAAGTGTAGACATAGCCCAATTGAAGTACTGCTGCACTCCCTGGTGTGATACTGAGGGGTGGCTGGAGGGTTGCGTCTCCTGGTGTTACTGGGGGATGGCTGGGGGGCTGTGCCCCTTGGTGTGTTACTGAGGGGTGGCCCGGGGCTGCGTCCCCTGGTGTGTTACTGGGAGGTGGCTGGGGGGCTGTGCCCCCTGGTGTGTTACTGGAGGTGGCTGGGGGGGCTGTGCCCCCTGGTGTGTTACTGGGAGGTGGCTGGGGGGGCTGTGCCCCC